TATGATGCTGCTCGGCCTGCTGTGTTCATCCAGCCCTGCACCTTGTCTCAGATTCTCCAGCATCTGCAGTTCCTACTATCCCAGATCAATTTTCAATCTGTTCAGGATGGCATTTGTTAGTATCGCTGCCTCCCAACGCCACGGATTGGGGTTCGATTCCAGCTTTGGGTGACTGTATGGAGTTTACACATTCTCCCTGTTTCTGCTGGGTACTCTTTCTTCCCACTGTCCAAAGACGGTGGATTGGCTACGCTAAATTGTTCCATAGTGTCCAGGGAAGTGCAGGCTAGGTGGATTAGCCATGGGAAATGCAGGGTTGCAGGAATGGGGCGGGGGGTGGGGGGGGGGGGGGGGGGGGGGGGCGCGGCATTTGGATCTGGGGTGAGATGCTGTTCGGAGTGTTGATGCAGATCCAAGGGGCCAAATGGCCTCTTTCCACACTGTAGAACTCCTATGATTCTATGATTCTAGCCCTATAACCACAATGTCAAGAGAATCATTGATTAGCCATGAGGAATGGGATTTTTGATCATTTTTTCTGTTTTACTATTTGTAATATTATCAATGCTGAGAGCTGCTAACTTTACAGATTTTTTTAAAGGAAAGTATATGTTTTGTCCCGGTACTGATTGAATAGCTCTTCTTAAATTTGCCCTCGGTTGAGGTTTGCTGTGTTTTTGTCTCATTTGAATGAATGCAGAAGGTGATATTGGTGGTGAAAAGTGGAATTTGCTAATGAATTTTGTGGTTGCAGTAGTCATATTTTATGACTACATTTGTCACTGTTCTCCAAAAGGTTCAAGATGCAAGTCAATGTTTTTACATTTTGAAACGGTCAGTAATTTTAAGGTTAAACTTGATGAGCACAACATTTAATATGTCTGCATTTTAATTAACCTTGCTGAACTCAATTCCATCTTAGACGGGAATCCGAGACAACAAGGTGCAGGGCTGGATGAACACAGCAGGCTGCTCCTATGATGCTGCTTGGCCTGCTGTGTTCATCCAGCCCTGCACCTTGTTGTCTCCATCTTAGACGGACTGTTTTATATTTAAATCTTCTTACAACCTTCACTATATTGATGTGTGGTAACCAAGCAGGAGTGATGTGGTGTTTCTTGTAATACTTAAAAATATTAAATTACTTTACTGATTGTTTATGCGACTATAATATGAACACTGTAGCCTATATTGTATGGCCTACAACACCTTATTTTAACTTTTGTCTTTAGGGCGAGCTTCAGGTTTCCACCAAGAGTATAAATTAATCCAGCATTCTGTGATAGGCCAGATTTTGCCGGAGAAGAAACGGAATCTGAACAACTCATGTTATTATGAGCATTTGCAGTGATTTTATAGACCGCATACTCTAAAACCAAAGTTAAGTGAAACCACAAAGTACCCTGCTCCAGCGAAATCTGGCCTTCAAACTCCATTGCAGCATTTTAATCCTGTTTGATTAAATTTCCATGGTGCAAAAAACATTTGGTTATCTTAGATTGGAATGTCTTATTCAACCTTGATTGAAACTAACGATACTTCGTATCTCAGTAGTATTAATGTGCAAGAATATGAATATTTTCCAAGTTATTTTTCCTGAGTAGTATTTATATTGATTTACCTGTGATGAATATTCCTGCAGTCTGCTCCTTTAGCAGTATCATCAGCACCACCATCAGGAACCCAGCAGATCAATTCTCATTCTCTTCAACATCAAGTTCAATTGTTGCACCAACATGGCGAGCTGACAAGAAAACCTGGACAGAATTTCATGTGCCTGTGGCAAGCATGCAGAAGGTGAATATGCATTTTTTTGCTGATTAAGTCACGGATCTGCAAAAGTTGTCTATATATTGGGTAAGGTTTCTCAGGCATGCTATATTGATTTCCTGTGTATTTTATTTAAAAGAAGGGCTCTTGATCCATTCCCTGTTACGTGATTCTATTTGACACAAAGTGGGATGTCCCATCTAGTCTCTTCATGAGGTCGCAGTTCTAGGTCTGAGGTGATTTGTCATTGATTCTTTTCCCTACATTTTGAACAATTTTGGAAGAAATCTGTGTCCTGGTACTCCAAGTTACAGTTAGGTTGCCGTGAATGCTTCGCAATTTTGTTTTAACCGCTTCATGTTTCCCAATGTAATTCAAAGACTTAACTTGACTAATATTTCTGTTCAGTCACATTTGGAAGTTTGGGTGCTCCAGTGAAGTGGTCTAATTGTCTTTCGCTAAAGCATGTGCTTGACTGCCCAACATGTAATCAAAGGAAAGCTGAACCTCTGCTTTCAACAGTAGGATTCTGTTTTGTCTGAACAGGACATTTGTACTATTCGCACACTGTGACATCTGAGGAAGGATGTTCTGGCTATAGAGGAAGTGCAACGAAGGTTTACCAGACTGACACCTGGGATAGCAAGACAGATGTATCAAGAGAAAATGCATTGGTTATGATTGTATTCACTGGAGTTTAGAAGGAGAGTGGGCGGGGAATCTCATAGAAACCTGTAACTTTCTAACAGGACTGGACAGGGTAAATACAGGAAGGATGTCCCTAATGACCAGGAAGTCTAGAACTAGGGATCGCAGCCTTAGGATATGGTGTAGACTATTTACGATGAACTTGAGAGGAAATCTCTTCACCCAGACTGGTGAGCCTATGGAATTCTGTGGTATAAAAAAAGTGGTTGATGTCAAACTATTGAATGTTTTCCAGGGAAGGAGTTAGATATAGTTCTTAGGGCTAAAATGGTCAGTGGGTATGGAGAGAAAGTAGGACAGGGTATTTCATTAGATGATTAGCCATGATGATATTGAAAGGTGGGGCAGGTTTGAAGGGCTGAATGGCCTACTCCTTCTTTCAAGGGGCAAAATGACGTTGAAGTGGAACTAGGCACATATCGTTAGGCAGGTTTATTTTCATGGCAGCAAGCAAAACTGTTGTCTTTCAAAATGTTAAACATCCACCTTGTTATAAAGAGAAATGAGTTAAATGATCGTAAATCTGTATTAACACACACAAAACTTCAAACTGTTAAATTGGCTATAAAATGCTTCAGGAAGTTCTGCCATTATGAAAGTGGCAAGTCTGCCTGTCTGTCTTTTAATATTAGTGTCTTTAAAAATATAAGTGTAAAGTTGGACCACAAATTTTGTAAATTTGAAGAATACAAATTCTGCTTGTATGCTCCAATCCAAACAAATCAGATTTTTGGGCAAAACTGAATGACCATATTTTGTTTGCTAATTTTAATCATAATCCAATTGGAATTTTTATATTATAATTGTCATAAATGTATTATGTTTAAGGCTAAAATTTTTGAAAACCAGAAGTTTTTTTTAGGAAGGATTAATTTTAAATTTAAACACCATAGCAACAGATACTTATTTTAAAGATAGCATTTCAATATATAAAATGGCCTAGTGTGCTAGATAGGAGTAGAAACAAAAGTTGACAGATTCCCACAATACTGGGAAGACAGCTTTTATGGAGCATCTTAAAGTAGTAAAGAGAAATGGAAAAGCATGAAGAAATTCCAGAGCCTAGGATGCAAGTAAGTTGAAGGCATTAAAACAAAGTTGCTGGATAAGCTCAGCAGGTATAGCAGCATCTGTGAAGGGAAAAACAGAGTTAACGTTTCGGGTCTGGTGAACCTCCTTTAAAGTTGAAGGCATGACTGACAACATTGAAACGATTAAAATTGGAAATATGGAAGAGGCCAGAATACAAGAGGAGTGTAGACATAGAGAAGATTTATAGCAATCTGGAGGACCTCCGCAATGGATTTGCAAGCAAGCATGAGTATTTTAAAATTGATGTTTCTGGAGCAGAAGCTAACACAATTCAGTGAACACAGATGATAGGAAATGGGACTTAGATTTCAGCGTTTGATAGGCGAAGCAGATTTTGGATGTGTCCTGTTTTACAGAATGTGGAAGATGAGAGTCTGACGAGGAGAAAATATCCAAATCGAGAGGTAAACACTAGGAGGATTTCAGTAGCAGATAGTGATGGGTGTTGTAACAGCTGGGAATTGGTAATCTTGGTGATGTGTGGTCAGAAAGTTCCAAAGAACTGGGGAGTCAAGGTTTGAAACAAAGTCTAGGTCATCCTCAAGGTGTGACGAGAGAGATGGTCTCTGGCTAGGGAATGGATTTTGGATTGAGCACCGAAACTTCTGTCTTTCCAGTGTTTGATTGGAGGAAGCTTTGATTTGTGGAAATCACCGTGGGAGTTTAGAGGTGATGGTGAGATGTGGTTGGATGTCAACAAATAGACGGAAACGTGACTTTGTGTTTTTAGATGATGTCAGTGAGGGGAAGCATGTCGATGAGAAATAGAAGGGACAAAAGATAGATCCCTGGAGCTTCCAGGTAACTGTGTGGGAATATACGATTTTTTAACTGTATAGAAGAAACTTCAGGTCATAGACTCTCAGTTTTTAATAGCATGGAAAGAGGTCCTTTGACCCATACTGTCTGTGTTGGTCATAGTGTCCATCTATTCATATCCCATTTTCCAGCACTTGGCCAGTAGCCTTGTATGCTTTGGTATTTCAAGTGTTCATATAAATATTTCTTAAATGTTTCGAGAGTTCCTGCTCTACCACCCTTTTTTAGGCACTGAATTCCATATACCCAAACCGTCCGGGAGAAAAGGCTTTCCTCAAATCCCTTCTAAATCCCTGCTCCTTACTATGTAACTGAACCCCCTGGTTATTGATCCCTCTACTAAGGGAAAGGTTTCTCCCAAACTGTTGCATTTATGCCTGTAAAAACTTGGTAGATCTCAATCCGATTCCCCTCAGTCTTCTTTACTCTTGGGAAAACAACCTCGGCCTGTCTCGTCCCTCTTCTGCACCCCAGGCAACGTCCTGGGTGAATCTCTTCTGCACCTTTATACAGTGCAGTCATATTCTTCCTATATTGTCACATCCAGAACCGCAAATGCTGCTAACTAAAAGTACTCCATCATAACTCTTTGCTTTTGCATTCAGTGCTTTGATGATTTAAGGCAAATATGCAATATGCCTTCTTAACTACATTCCTACCTGTCCTGCTGCCTTCACGGATCCATGGATATGTACACTAAGGTCCCTCTGATCCTCTGTACTTCCTAGGATCCTCCCATTCAATCTATAACTCTTGTCTTCTTAATCCTCCCAAAATGTATCACTGCTTTTCAGCATTAAATTCCATTTTACACTGTTCATCCCATCTGACTAGCCCATCTATATTGTCCTATAATTTAAAGGTTTTCTGCTCGCTCTTTAACCATACAACCAACTTTCATGTCATCTGTGAACATACTGATCATACCTCCTACGTTTCATGCCTGCGTCATTAACGTATACAACAAGCAGCAAAGGACCCAACACCAAACCACTGGGTGCAGACTCCAGTTACAGAAATGCCCTTTGACTATCATTCTCTGCTTCCTGTCAATAACGTAATTTCGCCAAATTGCCCTGGATACCACAGGCTGTTAGCTTCTTAACCAGTCTGCCACTGGGAATCTTGTCAAAAGCCTTTCTGAAGTCCATGCAAGCTACTTCAACTGCGCACTCCCCATGTATTCACCTAGTCAGCTTCTCTAAAAATTCAAATTTGGTAGACATCACCTCCCCCTTTATAAAGCCATTCTAACCATCCTTAAATAATCCTTGCTTTCCCCAAATGGATACTAATTAGGTCCCTCAGATTTTTTTTTCTCCAATAGACTCACTGACCGGCAGTTATCTGGTTTATCCTGACCACCCCTGTTTTGGTAATGGCACCACATTATCTGTTTTTCAGTCCTCCGGCTCCCCTACTGTGATCGGAGAGGATTTGACAATTAATGCCAGAGCCGCTGCGCTATTGTCCCTCCCTTCCCACAACAGCATGGAGTACATCTCAGCTGGGCCTGGGAATTTATCCACTTTCAAGCTTAATAAAACTGCTTATACATCCTTTTCCCCAATGCTGATTCATTCAAATATGTCACAGTCATCCTCCCTTATTTCTATACCCACATCACCCTTCTCTCGAGTGAACACAGATACAAAGTACTCAATGTCCCGTCTTAGCTCTCCTAATTTCTTTTTTATATACTTGTGGAGGATTTGAGCCTTTGGTGTGTACCAAAAGCTTCCTTTTTTATTTCCTTATCCAATTCTGTACATAATGTCATCCATCTTTCTCTGGATTTGTTGGTCCTACCCTTCACCTTTATGGGAGCGTGTTGGCCCATCTTTTGAATGTCTTCCACTACACTGATATAGATCTACCGGCAAGCTCCCAGTCAACTTTGTCCAGATCCCATATAATCTTACTAAAATCGACCTTCTGTCAATTCATAATCTTTATTTCTGATCCATCTTTGTCCTTGTCTGTAATTACCTTAAATTATGGTCACAGGTCCTAGATCACAGCTGGGAGAATACTTAAGTTTACAGGTACATTTCTCCTGTGTATTTGGGAATATATTCAGATCTTTGTTTTGTTTGTAAGTTATTCTTAGTCTTTGTAGCTTTTTTCACAAATTGTCATTCTTTTTCTTTTAACTAAAGTAGGGAAGAAATTTTTCGTTCAGAACTATTGCATGCTAATTTTAACTTCAAATAGGCAAAAAAATAAGCAAGATAAAATCTGGAGCAAGACTGGAAAATGCAGAATGAGATGTTGACTATGAGAGATAGTAGGAACTGCAGATGCTGGAAAATCTGAGATAACAAGGTGTAGAGCTGGATGAACACAGCAGGCCAAGCAGCATCATAGGAGCAGGAAGGCTGACGTTTCGGGCCTAGACCCTTCTTCAGAAGCTGTGTTCATCCAGCTGTACACCTTGTTATCTGAGATGTTGACTATGACATGTTTTAGGAAGATACTGTTGGAGGTAACATTTTTTTTGAAACAAGACTGGTGGTCCTTCTCTGTTTCTGGCAAATAGTGGAATGCACAACTGGCCAAGTAATGAAAAACTAGCAGTAAAGAACAGATAATCATCAATGGAGTTGAATTATGGATCATAAAAAATATTTATCATTCAAATTTTAGGTGGTTTGAATCTCCATCTCAGGTATATTATCACGCAGCAACTGAGCACGGAGGGAAAGATGTATATCCAGGGGCATGTATGTGGGAAGCTTGTGAACACTTCCCACGACAGCGACTCTCCTTCATTACTCACTTACAAGTATGTAACTGCAAAGATTTATGAAATGGCAGCATGTTTATTTGTTTTGACTATAAACTTGGTAATACAGCGATGGTTTGATTTTATTTTATGGATAGGATAAACACTGCACAAAAGAAGCACTCCTTACAGGACTGAAGAAGCTTGAAGAGCAAGCACAAGGTGGAAACCAACAAAATTCCAATAAGTAAGGAAGAAAGCACTGATTTTTAAGTATTGGATATTTCTAGAGTTTAGTGTAATTGGGATACTAAATTATTGAATTTTAGCCATTCCACTTGGAAGTCTGTATTTAGGTCAGGTGATAATATATCTGAATAACTGAACAATCAGTCCTCCTGCTCTGCTGCTTCCTTACCTTTTCCCTAGACTGTACCTGTCCTAGCCCTGAAGCCACATCTGCCTTCAGTTTTTCTTCCATCTTTCCTCATGCCCTCTCTGAGCACATTGTTTCTAAGATACCCACATCCATTTTTTTACCCCATTTCCTCTGAACTGTTGACCTTTTGATTTAACTTTCTGATTGTCATGTGAGCTCATGTTGGAAATGGTCCCATCCTGAACATGTTCCTTTCAAATCTCATACCATACTACTCAAAAGGAAGTATCACCTTACCACATCCCTTCTTAAGGCTTAATCTTTTTTCCTCATGTCCTAGAATGTGTACTCATCTCCTAAATCTCTGCCTATCTTTCCAGCAACTCCATGTTTGATGTTCTCGGATCATGCATTCATCCCAGTCACAGCACTGAAATTATGCAAACAGAAATTACAATATAAATTCTCTTGTGACTCTGATCATGGGGTATTATTCCTTCTTGACCCCTTTGCTGCAGCTTTTTAGGTGATGGTTCCAGTAAGGGAGACTTTATACTCCTAGAGAAAAGGAGTAGACAAATTCTAAGTAGCAGTGTAAATAGAAACACTGATGGGGAATGTTCTGAATGTGAAAAGAGCAAGTCAATTAGAAAGAGAGTCAGAGTACGTAGTAACTTGGAAGAACTATATTGCATTTATTTCAATGCAAGGGGCCTTACAGGTAAGACTGATGAACGCAGGGCATGTTTAGGACATGTGATTGGGACCTCATAGCTATTGCAGAAAATTGGGCTGAGAGATGGACAGGGCTGGCAACTCGAATGTTCTGGGTTTTAGATGCTATTGGAAGGATAGGAAAGGAAGGGGAGATTTTGAGTAAAGAACATATTACTGCTGAAAAATTGTTCAGTGAAAATATATAGGTAGAAATTAAAAATAAGGAAGGAAAGATCATCTTGATGTAGTTGTACTACCACTCTGTAGTCAGAGGGAAATTGAGAAGCAAAAATGTCAGGATATCTCCGATTATATGTAAGCATAATAAGGTTGTAGTAATGGGGCATTTTATTTTTCCAAACATTGACTGGGCTTACCACAGTGTTAGAGGTTTGTATGCTGAAGAAATTTGTCAAGTATGTTCAAGAAAATTTTCTTTATCAATATGTAGGAGCAAAACTAGACCACCTTTTGAGCAATAAAGCAGGGTAGGTGACTGAAGTCAACATGGGGGAATACGTTGGGTCTAGTAATCATAATTCTATTAGTTTCAAAATGGTTATGGAAAAGGATATGTCTTCCATAAAAGTTTTTAATCGGAGTAAGGCAAATTTTAATGGTATGAGAAAAGAACTTTCAAAAGTTGAAGTAGACTGTTCGCAGGTAAAAGGATGTCTCACAAGTGGGATAACATAGTGTGGAGCTGGAGCACAGCAGGCCAGGCTGCATCAGAGGAGCAAGAAAGTTGACGTTTCGGGTCGGGAGGTGACACAACCTGTCCATCTTCTCTCCCCACCTATACACTCCTCCTACCTCACTGACCAATCCCCACCACTGCCTACCTGCACTCACCTATCATCATCCCACCTAGCTTCCCCAGCCCCACCCCTCCTCTCTATTTATTTCAGAGCTCCATTCCCCATCCCCACCCGCCATTTCTGAAGAAGGGTCCCGACCCGAAATGTCAACTTTCCAGCTCCTCTGATGCTGCCTGGCTCACAGTGCTCCTCCAGCTCCACGCTGTGTTGTCTCTGACTCTAGCATCAGCAGTTCTTACTATCTCTCTCAAGTGGGAGGTGTTCAGGAGTGTGATGAGAGTTCAGAAGCATTTTGTTCCAGTTAGAGTGAAGGGTAAAGCTGATAAGATTAAGGAGCAATGGATGAATAAAGATATTGAGGTTCTAGTCAAGAATAAAAGAGAATCTTATTTTAGATGTAGACAACTTGGTTCAATTGAATCACTTCATCAAAATAGAGTGATGGGGCATTCTTAAGAGAGAAATCAGGAAGGCAAAGAGGGGATATGAGATAGCATTGGCAGGTTAAGGATAATCCAGAGAGATTCTACAAGCACATTAAGAGTAAGAGGGTAACTAGAGAGAGGTTAGGGCCCCATAAAGATCAAGGAGGTTGTCTTTGTGTTGAACCCCAGATGGCATTGTAGACAGGTGAAGGTTTCTAAGATTAAAAAGTGATCTTGATCAAATGGGTCAATGGGCTGAAAAATGGCAGATGGAGTTCAGTTTGGATAAATGCAAGGTATTGCATTTTTGTACAACAAACATAGGTAGGGCTTATACAATTGATGGTAAGGCCTTGGGTATTGTTCTAGAACAGAGGGACCGAGGGGTTCAGGTACATAATTCTTTGAAGTTTGCGTCACATATAGACAGGGTGGTTAAAAAGGCATTTGGCACACTTGCCTTCATTGTTCAGTCCTTTTGAGTATAGGAGTTGGGAAGTCATGTTGAGGTTGAATAGGACTATTGGTGAGGCCTGTTTTGCAATACTGTGTCTAGCTCTGGTCACGCAGTTGTAGGAAGGATATTAAGCTGGAGAGGGTTCAGAAGAGATTTACCTCGATGTTGGGTGGAATGGAAGGTTTCAGTTCTAAACAAAGGCTGGATAGGCTAGGACCTTTTTTCACTGGAGCGTGGGAGGTTGACAGGCGACCTTATAGCAGTTTATACAATAATGACGTGTATAGATAGAGTTAATGGTAGTTATTTCCCTAGGATGGGGGATTTCAGGACTGGGGACATATTTTTACGGTGAGAGGACTGACATTTTTAAAAGACATGAGGGGATAATTTTTACACAGATGGTGGTTCACATGTGGAATGAACTTCCTGAGGAGGTGACGGATGTGGATACAATTAAAAGACATTTGGATAGGGAATGGGAATGAATAGGAAAGGTTAGAGGGATATGGGCCAAATGCTGGCAAACGGGACAAGATTAATTTAGGATATCTGGTCGGCATGGACGAGTTGGACCGAAGGGTCTGTTTCCGTGCTGTATGACTCTATAACATCCACCTCCCGCACCTGTTGTCTGTTCTGTAGTACAGGGAGACTGGATTCCAGCAAAGCAATCTGATCTATTCATCATGGCCAATCTCAAAAGCTGCCAGTCCAAGTACTGTGGAGTTCCCTGATTTCCCAAAGATCTCTCTTCCATCCCTGCTTTTCCCCATCTATATGCTTCCCGTTAAGTCATACCATCCAAAGATTAGGGCTCAGCTTTCACATATATTCTGCTGCTATATTCTAATCCTATCTGATCTTTGTTCATGCTGATCTATGTTGATTTCTAATGCTCAAGCACCTGGAAATCATAATTCATACTTCTCTTTCATGGCATTTCCCTTTCTTACAGTATCTGCAGCTATACCTCCCTACCACCACTACCACATCAACCACACTTTGATTCTGACCTTTTGTATATTCCCACTGTTTGCTTCACTAGTTAGCCATACCTTTGGTTGTCTAAACCTCACAGTCTAGATTTCCCTTGCAAAACCCCTGTCCACTCTCCTCCTCAAACCACCCCTTAAAGCCTTTTCAAGCATTTCGTCACCTTTCTTAAAAATCTTTTCCTTTACCATTGTGTGTATTTATATTGGATTATACTACTGTAAATCACTTTGGGATATTTATCTCTTAAAGACTATACAATGCTATGTAATTTGAAGAAAAGTCTTATTGAACTTGCGATGTTAACTCTGCTTCTCCACAGATACTGCCAGATATGTTGAGTTTCTTCAGTACATTATACTTTTATATAAATACAAGTTGTTTTAACCTGGTCTTTTAAAGCAAAGTCTCCTTCATTCTCCATGAGACAATGGGAGCAAGGGGCTATAGATATTTTATATAATTAGGCCTATTAAAATTAATCTTCCATTATTTCCACAGGCAGACACCAGCTGGAGCTACTTCTGTTGCTAAAGCACAGAAGACCATTGTGAATCATCCCAGTGCTGCCTTAGTGGCATTGCGGAGAGGATCTAGGAACCTTGCATTTAGAGATTATATGGTCAGTTAAATAAATTGGATTATATTTGATTTAAACAGAGTAACTTTCTTCCGACGGTCTATAATAGCTTCTTTTTCAAAACCAATGCACTTTCCTCAATTTTTTCTTCCAGGATGAAAAGGAAGGTCCAATAACAAAACACATCCGGTTGACAGCTGCCTTAATTTTAAAAAATGTTGCTAAGTATTCAGATTGCGGTCGCAGGTAATGAGAATTTTTGTTTCTTCACTTACAGTTGGAATTCTACTATCGACAATAAGTGAAGATAGATGCTGTGTACTCTCGGGCTTTAGAGAGATACAGCCTTTTGGTCTCATGAGCTTTGGAAGTCACTGATACAATGACTTGCATTTGTAAGGTGCTATTCACATAGGAGAGAACATACTGAGCAGTAGGAAATCAACATTTTGAGAGAACATCGGTTCTGTTACCAAGTGAGAAACACTTGGGTAGGAGTTTTAAAATAAGCTAGAGGATTTGCCCATGGGCTACGATGTTAGTACTGAAGGAGGTTTTCAAATTAAGATGCTTAAACTCTGGAGGATTTTTAAAGAACAATGAATTTGAATTTGATCACTGTGGTTTAAAGCCAGTGATGATCAATACTTGGGGAGGGACACAGCTTGGTTTTTGAAAGTTTAGAGTGTATATAGTGAGGAGCTCCATATTCCTGAGAGAAGACCATTTTAAGAAGTTGGAGTTTGTGCTTAGACCAATGCACAAGCATGCTTAATGTTGTGGTGTTTAGTGGTTATGTTGCTGAATGATCTTGATAGAACGCCTTGACCTGGTTAGGAAAGTTATCGAGCACCTTGTTAGATCCCCTAGACAGTTATAGCTGTACAATATATTCAGTCCAATAATAAAGCTGGAGAATTTTGTGAACAGTTTAAGACCATACTTATTGCAAGGTATGACTGAAGATGGGTGCTTTCACCATTGTTCTACATCTGCTTTGAATTAGGGGACTTGGTTGTGATATTGTTTGGTCACAGAAGTGCAACTGAACGAATAACCATTCCATATAGAGCTGAAGATTTCTGTTGGAATACTCAATAGTCTCGCTGCTCAATTTGAAAGATTTCGGGCTAATACAATGTTACACTTTCATATAAATCTGGTAACATTGCATTATATTAATTCTTGAAAAGCCCCAGCCAGAAAGTTGGAAATTGTTTTAACTGTGGGTTTGTGCTTCATTTTTCTTGCAGATTACTAAAGCGACATGAAAACCAATTGTCTGTACTAGCCCTTAGCAACATGGAAGCTTCCAACACTCTTGCCAAATGCCTTTTCGAACTTGTGCATCTAGAACACTTACAACCACCAGAAGATAAACTCTGAAACAGTGTGTTGACATTACATATATGGCCAGTGTGTACAGTATTCTAAGATGACCTGTAAATGATTTTCAGAACAAAACAGCAAGTCCTATTGAGAAGAGGCCATTGTGGACATAGTTTCTTTAAATCCTTATCCATGTTGCACAGAAGCTTTTCGTTGTGATCACAAACTGATTCTGTGGTTGACCAGCTTTTAATAGGATTACCAATTGTCTGTTTGGAATCCAGTACCATTTTTTAAAAAGTTTGGAAGTAGTAAATACTAAAAATTGAGAGGCTACACAGATCAAATAATAGCATTAATTATTTTTGCCCTGTACCCCGTGTGAGGACATTTTTATATTTTGTAATGAGTGACTAAACTGGGGTTTAATAGAACAGAAATGGATGCACTGGATGTAATGTCTGCGATTGAAGAGGTTGCAGCTTATTTCTAGTGAAGTGTTTTCCTGTTTAGAATTCGGTAGCTTGTTTTTTTTCATACTTGAGCCAATATATTTTCACTTATTTATTATCACATGATCAGTTGTAAATATTTGTGAATAAAATGAACCAACTTTCATGCCACTGCAATCATTGGAAACACAGCTTGTGGTATCAGTAGCATTATTGTTAGGACTCTTATTTTCTAGTGTTTCCTGTCAATTGTAAGTAATTGTGATATATTTCCTGCAGTGGATGAATGTTCTTTAAGTCTGTGTAAATAATTCTGCAATGGTACTGATGCTGTAAAGTCAAAAGCAGTTTTGTGGAACTGATTTTTTTGTATAATACGCCTTGTAGAACTCATTTGCTGGTTGAAAGAGTATGAAATAATATATCTCATGTCATTTTGTAGAAGAAAACTATTGAAGGTATTTTTGGTTTACCCTAACTCGGACCCACTGAAAGGTATCACTTAGTACAAGCGCGGTGCTTGTACAGGATTTTTTGTATCTGTAAATTGTTTAAATACAAGGAATTTTATACAGGTTTTTCTCCGTGTTATATTTACATTAGGTGCAGGTATGGTATTTTCTTCACTATTCATAACATTATTTTCCAATCTAATTATAGTGCAGTATTTTAGTGTTTGTTCTTCCATCTTTAATATTGTACCATTCCACGTTCCTGTTTTGTCTCTAGGTTATGTCCTGAATGGTGTGTTATGTGATCTTTCATAACTGCCTATTGCCTGATGTATTAGCATCCAGAGGAGGGAACACTCTCCTTTCCCATTTCCTGCTTTGTCTGTAGAATGTGCAGTAATAACATACAACAGTTTTACATTAGGTGACTTTAATTACTTTGACTGTTTATAGTTTTAAATAAAAGAGGCTGGACATTTTTGTTTTAGTTTGCACTCATTTATTTCAGATCTGCACACAATAAAACAACCTGCAAAGTTCATGTGTTACCGAGTGTACTCTTTATCAGTTCCAACAATGTTCAGTGAATTAAATGATGTCATATGGTGCCCCTACTGTGGCAAGTTTAACTGTGAGACAGAGTTACATACCTCTGATCAAAGATGCTTCTGTTAACTTATTGTGCCAATTCATATTTGTTTTTGGATACTCATTGATGGTAAAATGGCAATTTGGTGTCACATTTTTGAGTTTTGATTACACTTGCCCAAAGAACTGAGGTGTAACCTCCAAGAATCTACTTGTAATATTACATTAAACCTACAGGACAAAGACGAGATGGGCAAGGTATCCTGTTTATGTTAAAAACCAAAAGAACTGCGTATGCTGTAAATCGGAAGCAAAGACAGAAGTTGCTGTTTAAAAACTCGGCAGTTCTGACAGCATCTGTGGAGAGAAATAGGAGATAATGTTTTGCGCGAGTGACCCTTCTGGAAGTTCTGAGGAAGGGTCAATCGACCCAAAACGTTAATTCTGATTTCTCTCCACAGATGCAGCTAGACATGCTGAGCTTTTGAAGCAATTTTTGATTTTGTTTCTGTTGTTTATTCTCTACATGACCCTCCTGCCCCCTGTTCTATCAGCATATCCTTTTATTTGTTTCTTCTTGTGACTTTACTTTCCCTAACTATTCAGTGAGGTAGTGTGTTCTACATTCTTATCACTCTTTGGGTAAAGCAGGCTCTAATGGGTTCCTGATTGGATTTATTGGTGGCTATGTCTTATTATTTATGACCTTTCAGTTTTGACTCCCCATAGGCTTTGATTTGTGTATGGAGTGCATTTTGATTTTATTCCATTGATAAACCATGGTTTACATGGTGCCCGTTCATCTGAAGAACTTTCTAAATTAATGTTTGAATACTCTGAATACTAGGAGAAAATATTCTCCTAATAAAAATGTAATTTGCATTCACAATATTGTCTGGTGTCTGTTGCATTGCTGAAATATAATCTACTGTGGTTTGTGCATTCATCAGAACTTGCAACTTCCCTATTCTGTTCTATTTGACTGGTAATGGATATTTGCAAATGTGTGGCAATCCATTATCCTTAGGAGCATGTAATGGACTATAGGAAGTTAAGTCTGCAGGCTACTCATGGCACTTCTTGAACATCAGGACCTATGCAGTGAAATCCCTTAGTAGCATGAGACAAAATTGAACTGTTTACTTAAGACCTCCTAGTGAACAAAAATGTTAGTTTATAAAGGTATCAATTTATCTCAAACATTACTCCAGTGTGTCCATGAAGATATATTTGGATCTCCTTGTAACCATCACAGAGGACATCATAACATGCTATAATATGTCACTGCAATGCCATTATTCTCCGGCCCACAGCATGTACACACCAGTCGGAGGTCTGATGCTTCAGCAGCATCTCGTTGGCTTTCTGTAACTCAGACACTGAACCATTCGTTACAATCTCATATCTGATTTTCCATATGCTGTGCAACCATCTTCATGTTCTAGATGTCTGTATCCAACATTGCAAGGCATGCTATTTCTCACCATCTAAAGCTGCTGTGCTTTGCTTTTAGCAAAGAATGATGCTTATTGTATCCCACTGTAGGATAATTGGTGAGCAGTTATCTTCTGGAGCTGTATTTTGCATAAACCTGTTAACTAACTTTAAAACTCTTTCCATGCTACAAGCCTGTCAGAAAGCTATTTGTATATCTGTCCTGCACACAATGGACTTGTGTCATTAAAAATTGTCCTTTTGTACTTACTTACAAATGTGTCCAACCTGAACTTGGAATTTAGTGGGAACAGATATCTCTAATAACTTGCAGTCAATAGTTCTGATCTTTTACAGTCATGTTGCACAGAGAGCATATTCCCATTACATTTACACATACCTTGGGAAATTTTGCTGAAGGTGGCAAGTAACGGTACTACTTAGGGTACAGTTCTCCATGGTCTGGAGTAGGCGACAGGAATGTGCTGTAGTGAGAAAAGTGGCCACTAAGCCACTTCACTTAACTAGTAATTACAATACACAGATCACCTTGCAGCTTGGGATGAGAAAATGGAAGATGACAATGTGGTTGAGCACATAAAGCTGGAATGGTTTATAGGAGTTGAGAATCCACCAGTTTCTAGAAGATACTAGTCTGATTTTGGGCAGGATCATATTCGTGCTGTAGGGTTGATGCAAGCTGAACTGAAGAGATGTAGGCTTTTGAAAGATGGTCAGGGTACTCTAGGTGACAATGCACCTACAGTTTTGGGGAGGAAAAGAAATGTAGCAAGTAGCAAATACCCAGGTATTTTCATTATCAGTCAATTCGCAGGTGGTGGCTATGTTTTTTTTTTATTCACACTTACTAATTTGTGACAAAAATGGTTTGCATACAATATATGTAAATGCAACGTGTATGTGCAACAGTTTTGTTTCTTTGATGTAGCATGCTGGGTTGTCCAATAATAGTCTGCACGCCACTAGAGATGGAACTGTAGCAACACCATGAACCCAGGGCAGCTACAGTGAGGAAATCTGTTTTTAACAGCTTGTGCAGCAGTTACAATCTCCAAGCCTTGTTGGTTTGAGCAGGGAGTTTCAGAGAGCAAGTATTGTGAGACTGGGAGTGAGCTCAACACGCCACTTTCTCTCTCTCTCTCTCTATCCCTAAAAACCTATCCACAAAGCAGGCCTGGACAGGAGCAAAAACCCAGATTGAAAGGCAACTCACTTCTGATCGTCCCTAGTACAAATCCTGCCAAAGCAAGCTTTGAGTGCATACTATCACATGCAAACAGAAAAGCAGTATTAGTTACCCAACTCTTCAACTTGAATCTTGTCCCCAACACCTTTTGGAGCTTAGTCTATCCTGTTTCTTAAGCAAAACAGCTAAAAAGATACTGCTTGCACTTCATAATGTTTGTTTTTTTATTAATTTATTGCTTTAACCTTTTCCTTGAAATTCATGTTGAATGCTGTGCACAAACTTTTATGAAATTCCATTGGCCCCCTTCTGGGAGCAAAAAAAATGGAAATACAGCCTTTGTGGAAATAGGTCAGGAAATCTTTCTTGCAGTGATTGAGAAAGTTGATTCAACTGACATCGCTACCTTTTTGAATTGGAGCACAGGAAGAAACATAAACACAGAAAATAGGAGTAGGCCATTTACCCTTCCTTCAAGTATGTCTCCATTCAATATGATAATGGCTGATTACCCACCCTGTTCCAACTTTTCTACCATAGCCTTAAATATGGTTTTGAGGCCAAAGGGAATAAACTCCTTGAGAACAAAACGTTTTGGCCTCAAGTAGAATGCCACAGACTCACCACACTCTGGATGAAGAATTTTCTTATCAGTCCTAAATGGTCTCCGTGTTACCCTGGTTTTGAACCAGATGAAGGCTGCTGTTTACCATGATATTCCATTGAGGATGCCCATTTACTACTTGTGTTTTGTTTTCCCCTTATGGACAGAGCAGCTCATATCCTAGTTTCTCTGTTGAAGCTGAGAATAAATGTCAGTGCAGACTGCCCTGAGGTGACTGCAGGTATTGGTAAAAATTTACACCAGCATCCCAGCTAACTCAGCATAGTCTCTTTCTATTTCTGATGAATCCAGCACTGAAAACAGTCCTCAAGTAGGATACTGCAAAATTTACGTACCCCAACAACGTTTTGTCAATGGTATTGAAAACTTGCTGCACCTGTAGCCAAGCTGTTCGGTTTCAGTACTGCATTGACATCTGTGAAAAACTGCCCAGGTAAATCATGGACACAAAATGAACAACTCCAACATGGGTGATTATCACCCCATTGGTCTACTCTCAAATATCAGTAGTGATGGTGGGTGTCACTAACAGTGCTTTGAAAGGAAACTTGTTTAGCAATAGTTCTGAGAAGATCACAACCTGAAATGTTAACTCTGTTTTCTCTCCACAGATGCTGCCAAACCTGCTGAGCTTTCCCTGTAATTTCCGATTTCCAGCATCTGCAGTTCTTTTGGTTTTTATTTGCTTAACAATAATCTGTTCATGGTTGTAATGAGGGCAGGGGCTGAATGGCCTAGGCAAAACCCAAACTCAACAGCCTTGGTTTAAGGTTGTACAAAAGAGCTAAATTCCTGAGGGGTGTTAAATGACTACTCTTGCTGTCAAATGTAACCTTGATAACGTTCCATCAAGGATCATGGGCAAAACTAGAGGGGCAGGCAGGGAATGAAGTTCAGGTGGTGATCAGATCAGTCATGATCTTAATGAATGTTGGAGTGGGTTTGAGGTGCTAAATGGTCTACTCCTGCTCCTAACTTGTGTTCTTCCCTCATTCTGCATTCAGCCTTGTTTACTCAAGACTATAGTCTTAACATCAGAAATCTAGCTATGCCTTAACCCTTAGCAACAATTCTAATGTTCCACTTATGACTATCTTGACCATTGAGGGTTGCAAGGAATTTTCTGTTAGAAAATTTACTCAAGGACATTATGATGTAGAGATGCCAGTGTTGGACTGGGGTGGACAAGGTCAAAAATCTCACACCAGGTTATAGTCCAAGAGGTTTTTTTGAAAGCGCAAGCTTTTGTAGCTCAGCTCCCCTGAGGAAGGAGCTGAGCTTTGAAAGCTTGTATTTTCAAATAAACTTGTTGGACTATAACCTGGTGTCATGTGACTTTTGACCAAGGAAGTTATTTGCATTCCAGTCCTTTATAGGCATTCATCTAAAGCTTGCAGATCAAAATTTCTATTCATTGCTGTGGTGGTTTGATACTGTGAAAAGAGAACCGTGTGGTCATACCATCTAAAATTCTAATTTGTTTGGTGAAATGCTAAGTTTCCCAACTGGCATATGTTTCGTCTTCATGGATTTTCAATAGTTAAACATGTTGGCAGTGGTATTTGGTTAAGTATTTCAAAAATTCTGATTTTGTTCCAAGGAAGAAGAAATTAAGTACAATAATGCAATAAAAAGAACTACATCAAAGAGTGTAGGCAGGGCCATTCTGATTAACTATAATCCCCCCCACAGATGGCATTTTACAAAGAGGGTATTAATTTTACTCCTCTTCACCTCCACTAAATGCAACCAGTATGAAATCAGACCCAGTGCAATTTTTAAGGAATCGAAGATGTTGATAAATAAAGTATTTACAGTGTAAACCAAAATGGTTTTATTAATTTAAACTATATACATCAAATAACAGGATTATTTACAAATATAGGTAAAATACATGAATTTAACAACCCAGGAAATGCAGTGTACCAATCTACCATTCTAGTAGGAAACTGATAAATCGCTAAATCAGAGAGAAGGAAAAACATTAACCTTTTACACACGTATATAGTTTTAGAGGATCCAATTAAGATGGACTAAGGGCTAAAGCTTTGTGCAGGCACCCATCAGGTGAAACTGTGCTTACTTCTGACAAGCTGCACTTATTTGTAAAATTACTGATAGATGATTGGTCTTTGGGACAATACAAACACATCTTCAAGATTTTGTCTAGAGTTCACAACCTCAATCTGTTGATGCTGATATATGCAAATGCATGGCAAATGGATCCTGGTTGCTATAGTAACATTACTTCAAGTGCCGACTACTGAGTGGCTTTGAAAAAAAGACTTAAGCTCCAATTATATCTACTGGTGCAGTGGTATACACCAAGTCAATCCAGTTGTAAGAATTTTAAAAATTCATGCAAAGATAATCTTTTCACAGCAAACTTTAAGCAAGCTGTTACTCTATGTAATGTTCTTCTCATTGTTTCTAGTAGTCCTTGGAAGACAATCAAAAATCTGCTGCGTTGGCTTTTGTGGATTTCAAATCCTACTGTGGCAGCATTTAAATCCCAGCGATAAATCTAGAATTGTTCTAGTATCTAGACGAGTTCCAGTAATGGCGACCATGAAATTTTCATTTCTGAGGAAGGGTCACTAGACCCAAAACATTAACTGGTTTTTTGTCACAGATGCTATCAGATTGGCTGAGTTTCTCCAACACTGTTTTTGTATGAAGTTTTCACTGATTGTTGTAAAAGCCATCTTGTTCACTAATGTCCTTGCCTGGTCTACCTACCTGTGACATCAGACATGCAGCAATATGGGTGATTGTCAACTGGCCTCTGAAATGGCCTAGAAGACCACAATTCAAGGACAATTGTGGAAAGTTAATGACCGCTGGGGCCTGCTAGCAATGCCACATCCAATGAAAGAATATATTTTTAAAAATAGTTCAGATTCTCTGCTTAACACTTAAAACAAGTAATCTCCCCTCATTTTTCTCATTCTTACCTCAGTTGGTAGGAATGTGTAATTGAACGACCCAGAGTTAAATTCAGGTCAGTACTGAATTAGCTCATGTTAACCAGGTTGGTAGCAGATTAATGATTCTCAGCATCCCTTGAGTACAAATCAAAACTCATGGTTCCTATCTGATGACCCTGTAGGAAATTCTATACAAGAACAAGAGTAGTAGTGGTTGTCATTAACTCAAGGCCAAACATAATCCAAAACTCTGTTAAATTGGTAAACACTGGCTTCAGAAGGGGAGAAAAACATCCCAGATTGATGATTGTCATCAATTCTAGGATATAAGACATGGTCAATAGGAGAACGAACCAGGAATTTAGTTGTAGTAAGTAACTGATGTATTCCCTTTGAATGTCCCTTCTCATAATACATTCTCCTAGAATAATGAAGCATACTGCCTCTCAGTTTAAAGTTGGAAATTAAAAGGTACCCGATCAGCAATTTCTTAAATGTAAGAGGCTTTTAAAGGAGAAGAAAATAGAGCACCTATCTCTTACTAAATTACATAAGCACAAGGTTATTCATGCGAACATCACAGGAAATGGAAACTGATTCAAAATCCACTAAGATTTATTACAAAATCACCACCGGTGGAGGCTTATGTCAAGCTGATCACGTGAGGGGAATAAAAGTATCTACTGCAAATCATTTTCATAAAATTCTGAATCAACTTATCATAAAGCCCAAGATTTCTGCTGCAATGTATGCCACCATACGAGTATTAATGAAGCAGAAATAAAATGCTTAAGAATCTAACCATCAATACTTAACTTTATAAATTAATTTAAAATGTTAAACAAGTTTGGTTGCACACAATTAATTTCCAGGACATTCCATTGTTTGTAGATATTTTATTACAGAATGGTTACAGCAGGAGATCAATTATCTGTGCTGATCCTCTGAAGAAACGATCCATTTAGGACCTTTCCCCGGACATTTTCCCTATAGCCCTGCAAACCTTTCCAATTTCCTTCTAAGATCTTCAATTGACCCTGCCTCCACCACACTCATGAAGAGTGTTCCAGATCCTAACCATGTGCTCTATTAAGGTCATCCTCATGTCACCATTGGTTCTTTTGGCAATTACCTTAAACCTGTGCCCTCTGGTTCTCTGCTCTTTCAACAAGGAGAACAGTGTCTCCATACATATTCTGCCAGGATATCTTAAGATTTAAATAGCTGTATTACATCTCCTCTTCAAGGAGAACAGTCTTAACTTCTCCAACCTATCCACGTAACTGAACGTTTCGTATCTAGAACTGATCTCTATTCTACATGTCCTAAAGTGTTTGACAGAATAATACTCCAGATGACACTGAATCAGTATACAGATTAAACATTCAAATAAAAGTGAAATACTGCGGATGCTGCATATCTGAAATAAAACCAGTAAGTGCAGGCGAAACTCAGCTGCAACTGTGGAGAATGAAATGTTTTGTCACTGGATTTGAAATGTTAACTCTGTTTCTCTGCACAGATGCTGGAAAAGCTGCTGAGTTTCTCAAATATTTTGTACTGATTATAGGTTTAACATAACTAACATGACCATGAGCAGATTGAAAACTATTTCACGAACATATTAACCTTGAATACAACGGAACAGCATAAACCGAATGCTCACATCTTCGTGGAATCAATATATTTCCCATACTACTTGGGTGTATTATTAAAAGTGTGAAGCCTTTCAGTGAAATTAATACTTTCGACATAAAATGCACAGTGTGCTGTATTCCTGAGAGTTACTTGCGTTTATGAGAAATGTGCGATGTCCTACTCTGAAACTGTCCCGCCCTCTTGTAGCATTAGTGAACGCACTTCCAGGAAAACCAGTGCAAAAACATTCAAAAGCAGATGGTCGAAAAGGGAAGGGAGGCAATGAATTAAGTATGAACACTTCTACTGCAAAATTCTATTAAATAATCAAAAACTAGAAGCAATGTTGTGATGTTGTTCTACATAATTATTAGTTCCAATACACAAATATGATTAAGCACTGCTGACAATAGCAATTTCTGTAAAATTCAGAACACAAACCTTTGGAAACACCAGAAAAAAATACATTTCACTCAATATTCACTCAATAATAAAGTCCTCAAGCTATATATAGACATTTCCATTGTAAGATCTCTGCTGGTAACTTGTCTATTGCCATGATTTGTTAGAATTATCTGAACAAGGTCAGCACCAAAGATGAAATAATTACCATAAGCAGAATGTATTACTATATCATTATCAACAGAATAATCAAAAATAAGCCAACTTTTACAAAGGATATTACATTTGAAGTAAAAATACAGATTTGCTGTCTGAACTCGAATATATTTAAATCCATACATATGTGTCCATCAAGACCCAGAAACTAGTTTGACAAGCAGCAGAAAATTTATTTTGCTGTGTTGAGCAAGTATTACAGAATACTCCTGACATTTTAACCATTCTTTTCTGCTTTTCTCAAAAATGAAACTATAGAATCAAATCTTTTATCAAACATTTCCCACTGAGCAACAGTCCTAGAAGTGTTAAGCAATCATCTTTGTTTAGACCTTATATGCACTAAAACAGCTGATCAGCCTCAGATGCCAGTCTTTAGTGCTTCTACATGATCCAGATCCTTCCAGTTAAACCTGGAAGCTTTTGTACAGCATACAAACGGTTTACAAAAACACTTAACTAGAGTTAACAAAAAAAAAATTCATCGAGATAATTTGATACATTAGGAAATCATCTAACAAATATCACATTTTATACAACTGATCTAGTGACAACCCACGGGAGGGGCCAGGACAGATCATATTAAGTATCCTTACAACTCCAAATAACTAACGACAGCATGCTTTCATTTCACGTTATTGTGTTGTTTCAAATGCTTCAATTTTAGAAAAACACCTAATCTTTTGTAAGGAAAAAAAACGAACCAATAGATAACAAAGTTCCTACTCATCATTCTATTTTGAGCTCATGTTAACACTGGTAACCAATCAGCTACAGCTTTTTATTGTTTAAAAAGATTTGTTCCCAATGATACTGCATTCCTCAGGGTTTTGCTTTGGGTTCCCTTTCCTGGCATGTTTATATTTTTCTACGTATGCTTTTACCAAATTGGCTACTTTTCCTGGGATGACTTCACCACTCTTGCTGTGGCAAACCTATAGAGAAGACACACAAGGTTCAATGAATCTACCTGGACAAATTTAAATTTACGTAGTGCAAATGTGGTAGGTAGGAACTGTTTAATTTATTTAGTTGACAAGACTATGCAAAAAGACATACACCTCCAAGACAAAAAATTAAAAGTCAAAATTTACAGGACAAGTTAATCTACAACTTGCACTGGGATGATCAAAACAAAGTTAATTTTTCATGTCATGCAGGGTTAAACGATGGTTGCGTCACAGGCAGAGGGTTAAAGGCAAAGAGCTGAGGGAAAGCTGCAAGGGGAAGGAGAAGAGAGGAAACTACAAGACAGACTTCATTGGAGAGTGCAGGAGGGCTTGTCCACAGCAGCACGAGGCATACCGAAAAATGAGTCGTCAACCTGGCAAAGCTACAAAACAGGACTAATTGTGTGTCAAACAGCACATGCAGCAAGTAATGGACAAAGTAAAGTGATTCCACAACCAATGAATCAAACTTAAGCTCTTCAGTCCTGCCACGTCTAGCTGTGAACGATGGTCGCGTTTCCTGCCATATCCCTCGATTCCGCTAGTATCCAAAACTTAACTGATTCACTCTTATACAAATACACTGACTTTTATGCTACAATCAGATTGTCTTTGCCTATTTGATGCCATTTCATTTTATGCAACAGGTTGAAGGAAAAGGCGGCCCTCCTTTCTGTGGGTGAATTTTTTCCAGGTCTTTCCCTTAGCTTTCTACAGTTTGCTCTTCTTCTCTCTGTAGGTTGTGCTTATCACATTTGTTTTGATTATTTTTATGGACATCTTCTTTCCTGCCACTTTCTTTACTTATCTACTGAAAATGTTGACAATTACATTTTGTCATTCCCTATCACGCCTCTTATGTAACATGATCTTAACAATGCCAAACAAGTTTCAGTATGTTCTGAATTTTGACATCTTCCAATTATTTAATTCAGCAGAAGATTGTAAACAGCTACAATCACTGTAGAGACTTAACTTTTAAATTTCCACTTTTTAGCAGAAAGGGTAACAGAAGATATCATGTCATTACTGTAACAAAAGTCTAAAAACCATCCTTGTAGGTAACTTAATACTTGAAATCACAAAACAGAACTTTCTTTTTACATTAAGCATAACTGAAAAGCTGGTCACAATTATAATTTAAACCGTCCTTTAGACAGACGTTTAATTCTTCCACCATCAGCCGAAGGTGATTTATAGCTCCCAAGGGTTTTGTTCTTTTCCTTTCTCAGATGGGTACTTTTAAAACCTGTCTTTCACAATTAAGGTCCTTCCCTGGAAATTCTTCCCCCAAAGCAAACTCGGTGCATCTCCCAATATGCTTTAACTCAATCTTTCAATTTCAGCGTGAGCTCCAACCTGCATTCCTGCATGATGATAATAGCACCTTGTTGACCATAGCTGCTCTTCTTCTCCTGGATCCTGGCAGACCAACTTTGTCTGTCAGTTCTTTGCGATATCTTAGACCCTTCTATTTTTCAAGGTCCATCTCCATGGCAATGTGAATTAGATGGCCCTTGATTCAAAGTAAAAATGCTGATTAGCTAAACCTAGCCTGCAGTCAGGTAGACTTCAGGACAAGTCACATTACCTTCTTCCTTTTACCTTAAAGGGAGTCCCAAAAAAAAACTTTATAAATCTCACCGTTGCAACATAGCACAATTTATATATAAACAAATCACAGAAATTTGAGTTCAAACAGGAGGCTACTGCATCCCATCATGTCCATGCCACTGCTAACTTCACCCCTGGGCTGGCTAACTACAGTAACTCCATTCCTGCTTCTTTCCTCTCCTTTGAACATTTCCACCCCAGAAGTACTCAATCGGCCAACCTCAAGTGAATAAACACTACTGTACTCCCTGTACACCCATGATTATGTTGCTAAATTCTGAACAAACGCCATCTAGAAGTTTGCGAACTACACCATCTATACAAAGTAGTAGGATGGATATCTAACAACCATGAGTCAGAATATAGAAAGGGGATAGAGGGTTTGGAGATGTGCTGCAATGAGAACAACCTCTCTCTCAACGTTGGCAAAACTGAAGAGCTGATCACTGACTTCAGAAAGAAAGAAGGAGAACATGTCCCCATCTACATCAACGGAGCAGAGGTTAACAGTCGAGAGCGTTAAGTTCCTAGGAGTGGATCTCCTGCACAGATGCGACGGTCAAGAAGGCATAACAGCGCCTCTTACTCCTCAGGTGGCTCAGGAAATTTGGCATGTCCGTAAGGACCCTCACCAACTTTTATAGATGCATCATAGAAAGCATCCTGTCCAGGCACATAACAGTCTGATATAGAAACTGCTCTGCCCAGGAAGGCAAGAAATTGCAGAAGGTTGTGTATACAGCTCAGACCATCCACGGACTCCATTACACGGCTTGCTGCCAACATCATCAAAAAACCATCGCACTCTGGTAATGCTCTCCTACAACCTCTTCTGTCAAGCAGAAGGTACAGAAGCTTAGATACACTCACCAACAGGTTCAGGAACAGCTTCTTCCCAGCTGTTACAACTGATGAATGGACATTCTAACTTCAAATAATGCTGATCTTGCCAATGTTGATCTTATCTAGTACACACCCATTTGACATAACTTATACGCCTCTGACTAAGTTTCTTTTCCACCGTACGATCTGTACATCTTTGCTTACTAAGATCTGCCTGTATTGCTCGTAAACAAAGCTTTTCACTGTACTTAGGTGAATCAAATCAAATCGAAAGAAACTGATCAACTCAGCTGCAATTATCCTGTAGTAACAAACTTCTCATTTTATGACAATATTTCTTCTAACCTCATCTCATACTCTTTTAGGATGATCCTAAATTTTTGCTCCTATTTGCCTGTTCACCAATCAGTCAAATTAACTGCCAATACTCAGACAATTCCCCAAGAAATTCTGAAAACTTCAAACATGCTTTTTTTTTTCCATTATTCATTCATGGGGTGAGGGCGTCGCTGACCAGGCAGCATTTATTGCCCATCCCTAATTGCCCAGAAGGTAGTTCAGCGTCAACCACATTGCTGTGGGTCTGGAGTCACATGTAGGCCAGACCAGGTAAGGATGGCAGTTTCCTTCCCTAAAGGACATTAGTAAACCAGATGGGTTTTTCCGACAATCAACAATGGATCCATGGTCATCATTAGATTCCTAATTCCAGATAATTTTTTATTGATTTCACATTCCACCATCTGCCGTGGCGGGATTCAAACCTGGGTCTCCAGAAAATTATCTGGGTCTCTAGACTAAGACTCCAGCGATAATACCACACTCCATTGTCTCACCTAATCCAATTAATACTTTTATTTTGCAATCTCCTTGTCATTACTGTCCCCTCCCCATTAACCTCAAAGTACACCTGAGGAGATCAAACATCTAGGTTGTGACTGAGAAAAACAGAAATGTTTATTTGGAAAACATTGAAGACATCCACAGATTTAATCAGGAGCACACAAAGGTGAAGTTGAGGCATCAGAGTAAGTGTACAAACCTAGAAAGATGTCATCTGCTTGACCCTGTTAGTACCACGTCCTTCATGTGGTAGAGTTTGTTGAGTACGCATTAGAATTATCAATATCTCAGATCTCATCGAACCAGAGTAGGTAGCTAGTTATCCTTGATCCTGAGAAACTGCCTAAGATCATCATTCGTTGTTGCACTTCTATAATTCCGTGACCCAGAACGCCCATAATCAAACATAACAGTTGCAGTTTTGGACTGTATAGAGATTCATTATTGCCTGTTTGTTTTTGTATTCAGTATCTACTTCTTTAAAACTCAACTGAAACCAAAAAATGCTGGAGATCACAGCAGGTCAGGCAGTATCCATGGAGAGACAGCAAGCAAGAGCTGAAGTGAAGTGTGGAGGGGGCAGCATTACTGCAATAGTATGGGGCCAGGGTTTGGAGTGCTGGGGGAGAAAGGATGTTGATAGTTCAGACTAAGCGATTGGAATATGAGAATGGCTGATCGATGGTGTGTCTGTCAGACTGGGAAGAACAGACAGTCCCACTGGGGTGGGAGGGGAGGAGACAGGACATGGTAACAGAGAATGTAACAAGCAAAGCTAAAAGAAAGGGAAGGAATGGGTTCACAATTTGAAGGCGTCGACCTCAATACCGAGCCCAGAAGATTGTAAACTGCCTAGTTTGAAGGCGAGATGTTGTTCCTCCAGTTTGCACTGTGATTCACTGGAGCACTGCAGCATGCTCAGGACAGACAAGTGGGCATGAAGGAGGAATCCTTAAAGATCAAGGACATCAGTATCGTACATTTCTACACCTCCACTCTATTAAAAAGATGACCAACTTTGGTATATTTCCATCACCCCTTCTTGTATCAAATATGCTAATCTGCCTTCATGTTCAGTGAAACTGAATTTTCACCATAAAACCATCTCCTAACCCATTAATGTATTCACATCACTTCCTGCAATTTTCTGTCATTTGTCATTTTCCATGGCTGTCTGCAAACTTATTATTTATGCTGAACTCGTATCTAAATTATTTATGTACATAGAGAAGAGTTCAAACATGTCCTTGGCATAAACTACACTATGCAAATGTGAAACATCCATTTGCTCTTCTCTATCAATCTTAGCATATTATCAACATCATGTTTGCTGAATTCACCTCGTGCATCCCATCAGTAATTTTCTCAATGAATTTGATTAAATTGTAAGCGTGACCTCCTTTACAAATCCCTGCTGCATTTCCTTGACTAACCAATGTTTTTTAAGTGCTCATTAATGTCTGTGGTCCTATCACTGATATACAAGATATTCAGGTGAATAACTGCACCTATCCATTTCATGTACCTCAGTGCACCGAGATTACCAATCTAAAAACACGATAACCAAAGAAATAATTAAATTACCAAGGGTAGATATCCAAGGCATACAATCCTATGACATGAAGTTTGTACTCTCCCACTTAAAAAAATCCTACTCATCAGTAATGCTGTGGAAAACTATAATCCATTTTGAAACATTACCTTATCGACGGCCTTGCGGACAATTTCTTTATATTCATCCTTGGTAATCTCCTTCTTTTGGTAATAAGGCTTGATGGCTAGTTTCACTTCTTCTACAGCCCTTTCTTGAATTGTACATTTCTACACATTGGAAAGGAAAAGCACTTAAGTTGTACTCTCAACATCAAACAGTGTTTACAGAACTGAAATTCGAGCATTAGTCACATCAATCATAGAATCCCTACAGTATGGAAACAGGGCATTCAGCCCAACAAGCCCACACTGACTCTCTGAAGAGCATTCCACCCAGATTCACCACCTACCCCACACCCTATCCCTGTAACCCTGCATTTCCCATGGCTAATCCGTCTAGCCTACACCTCAATGGGTGACCCACCTAACCTGCGCATCTTTGGACTGTGGGAGGAAACCGGAGCACCCGGAGGAAACCCACGCAGACACGGGGAGAATGTGCAAACTCCACACAGACAGTCACCGGAGGGTGGAATCGAACCTGCGTCCCTGGCTCTGTGAGGCAGCAGTGCTAACCACTGAGCCATCATGCCAGACAGCAATAATAAACTAATGCGCATCAAGGAACAATGAAATTGTATTACATGAGACATATATATACTTTTTAGTTTGCAGGTTCATAAACTTTTAAAAGATTACAAGTGAAGATGTACACATGCAAAACGTCAGGCAGAAGATACAGAAACCCGAACACATGGACTAGCAGGTTCAGGAACAGCTTCTTCCCAGCCATTATTAGACTGGCGACTGGACGCTCTAGCCTCAAATAATGTTGATCTTGCCTAGTGCGTGCCCTGTATGCCTCTGTCTAAGTCTTTTTACAACCTCTGATCTGTACATCCCTGCTTAATTGTAAACAAAGCTTTTCACTGTACTTCAGTACATGCGACAATAAATCAACCAACAAGTAGAAACAAATCTATGTTAATTTAAAGATCTGAGAATATTTTAAAAAAACCTCATATTCAAGTCAAAGTGGTATTAACTCTCTTGCCATATGGGAAGTAAAATTGTTTGGAAATAAATCAATTACCGATTCTGCAGGACTTGCCTTGTCCTTTTTGGGCTTTTCTGTTTCAAATTCTTCCTTCAAGCTTTCTTTTTCCACTGCAGGCTTTGAAGTTGAAAGAGATGCAAAGACTTGTTGAACAGACTGAAAGGTTGAAGGGGAGACATCTATAGAAAGTGGAAGTTGCATGGCCTTGCTGGACTCTCCAGCTGTACTGGGTACAGTGGCAGCACTACTTTGCACATCCACCTCTGAAACACTACATGGAGTAGGGATGACCTAAAACAAGAGTGAAGCAAAATATCAAACACTTAATAGTCATCCATGTAAGCAGCAAAAAGTAAGTTCACAAATATAAAACAGAACATTGAATGAAACAAAAACAGAAACTGCTAGGAAAACTTAGCAGGTCTGGCAGCATCTGTGGACAGAAAGCAGAGTTAACATTTTGGGTCCAGTGACCCTTCTTCTCTCCACAGATGCTGCCAGACCTGCTAAGTTTTCCCAGCAGTTTCTGTTTTTGTTTCATTCAATGTTCTGTCTTTCCAGCAATTTCTGTTTTTGTTTCTGATTTCCAGCATCTACAGTTCTTTCAGTTTTTTTTAAAAGAACATTTAATGAAGTAGTTGTGTTATTAGTTTATAAAGACCATGACACACAAATGTCATCAAAAGACAAAAACCCAATGGGCTGCTTTCCTTCCAGAGTTTTGAGGCCATGTATGTTTTGACTGTAACTGAACACAAACGTCCATATGTGTAATATTATACCAAAGAAACATGAGTTCAATTCCAGAAGGCAGAACTTAGCGCAAATCTTCTAGGTAGGTTGTCATGATAGTGGATAACAAAATATACAATTAATGTAATCATATTGACTGGGCATCGTACACCTGTTTTGGCACAGAACAAACAGACCCCACAAAGATCTTCCAGGGACACAGGAGGTTGGCACTATTATTTTTATAAAAATACAATCCTAATCTATGTAGCCACAGCTCTTTTTATGTTGCTGAGCATTCAAGAGAATGGAAAACATCTATTCTCACCATAGTTATTTTTCTAATGAACATGTTCAGAGATGGCATTTCACACCTTTGGAGCATGTGAGACTTGAACCTGCATCTCCTGGCCCAGAGGCAGGGACAGTACCACAAGTGCCCTGCTCTTATTTTTCTTAAAAAGGGTAGGTGACAAATTAGGTTCAATGCAGGTAAATATGATGTGGTGTATTTTGGTGAAAGAACATGAAGATTCAATGTAAAATATAGGGTATTATGTTAAAAGGTGTGCAAGGGCACAAGCAGTTAATAAAGCAGACAGTGTTCTAGGTTTTACTAATATAGGCAGAGAGTACAGGAACATCCAGATAATGCCAAACTAGTGTAAGACACAGCCAGACCTCAGCTAGAATATTGAGTACAGTCGTGGGTGCCACACTTTGGAAGGATGTGAACATATTGGAGAGAATGCAGAATAGGCGTACAAAACTGGTTCTTGGGATGAGAAACCACAGTTACAAAGAACAATTAGAGAGGTTGTTTACCAGGAGTCTGGACAATGTAGATTGGGAGAAATCTGTAAAAGGATTGGGAATCAGTGGGCACAGACTTAAAGTAATTTGCAAAAGAAACAAAGGCGATGAGAGAAGATACTGTTTCTCACAGCAAGCAGTTAAGGCCTGTAAGTGTGGTGGAAGCAGTTTCAACTGAGGCATTCAAGAGGGCACTGGATGATCTTCTGAATGTGATCAATATATAGGGTTACAGAAGAGAGCCAGGAGAATGGGGCTAAGATGTAATGCTCATTCAGACAGCCAGTACATATCCAATGGAATAGCATCCTTCAGTACTAAAACGATTTCAAAATTCTGAGAGTAAATCAGTACCAACCTCAGAAATTCAGCAAAGGTTAAGAGTGGGCACTGATTGTGGGTGAAAGCCTGCCTTCTACTGTAAAACTGATCAACCAGAAAATCCAAAATACAATGAGTAACCTGAGTCGTACGATCAGGTTAATGACGAAATGTACACCAAACCCCAGAACTAGATGACCAAGATTTATTACAAGCATCATTCAAATCAAAATCAAATAAGTGTAACTATTTATTTTCTTTAAACAAATGAAGTACACATGCCCTAAGACTAAAATCAATTGAGCTGAAATGGTGTTACCATTTACTATGTCCAGAAATGTATAAATACAACTTCAAAAAAAATTCTCAGATATGGGTAACAACTTGCTGGTCTCTCGAAGATAGAGGTAGCTCAGAAGGCCATTTTTGGTGACGACACATGGCCAATCACAGAATGCTATCATATAACGTGCAAGCTAAACAAGGTAAGGGGTTCAGGTTCCCTCACGTGAAGGACATTACAGGAGCAGTAAGATTTCACAACGATCTGGACGATTTATGGTACAATCCATATTTAACTGATTTATTGAATTCAATTTTCCAAATTCACAAGTTGGGGTTTTAATCTATTAGCTCCGGGATTGTAGTAAAGCAACACAATCATTTCGCTTCTGTCCTTTCAAAAGGTGAAAGCTATTTTACTTCTTGCCTCATAGTATATGAGAATTGCTGGCAAGGCTAGTATTTTTTGCCTGCCCCTAATTTCTCAAGAAGATAGCGATGGACTTCTTGTATCACAAGAATCCAAGCTGCATTCAAGGCCCCAGTGTTCTTCTAGGTGCTAGCGGTCACAGGATTGGAAGGTGGTGATGAAGGAAGCTTGGCAAATTGAAGTATGTCTTGTAGGTGGTACACATTGCTGCCGCTGTGTGTCAATTAAGCCGATCGCTAGCTACTGGATAGAATTGACCCTTCCAAGTATTTCTGGACCTGTATCATCCACGCAAGCAGTACGCTTGACTTGTGCCATGTGCATAACTGACAGAATGGACAAATGTTGAGGAGTAGGAAGGGGAATAATTCACTGCAGATTCTCAGCTTCTGACATCTTTTATTGTGGTATCATTTAGTTAGTTCAACTCAGTTTTGGTCAATGAATTCCCCATGATTTTGGTGTCAATGCAGTCTAACAAATTGTTTTGGCTAAACCATAACAATTCTTAGAAGGTTTGAATGGAGACTGCACATGCTGGAACAAAACAGTATATCAATAAGGAGGCTTAAAGAGTACCTATTAGACTCTGATTTTTTTTTTTGACGACATGGGTGTCACTGGCAAGGCCAGTATTTGTTGCCAATCTCTAACTGCTCTTGAACCAAGTCACTAACTGGGTCATTTCACAAGAACAGCAGATTTCCTTCCCTAAAAGATATTAGTGAACCAGGTGGCTTTTCACAACTGTTGGCGATTGTTGCTATGGTCACCACTGGAGTGGCTTTCAATTCCAGACTTGAAACTTTGTGTTCCTTCACTGTTACTTGTTCAAAATCAAATCTTTTCCAACAGCAATATAGCTTCTCTGTACCCCAAGGACTGCAGCAATTCATATATTTGGCTGACCATAAATTGTCCATGGGAACTAGGGATGGGCAATAAATGCTAGTCCAGCCACAACACCCAAATTGCGTGAACAAATAAACTTTCTAATTGATTGGAAAAGGAAATCTGAGCCCTGAAAACACCAATACTTCCCTCTGATCTTGTCTATCTGAGAGTCTCGAACATTGGAAAACGGCATTCATGTCCTTACGCTGGAGAACTTACTTGAGATTGTGCCATGTCATGTTGCTGAATCGCATAGTTCACCGATTGGGCTGGTGGAGGTGGAGGTGGTGGCGGAGGCGGGCTGTTAGGCAGGTTTCCAGCTCCAGTTGGTTGCACTGCAGGGAGTCCTGCATGCACGTTCAGCGGAGGAGGAGGGTGGATGTATGGATGGAAATGCATTAGCGGGGGTGGTGGGTGGACGCTCATTGGAAATGGAAAGACATTCATTGGCTGGGGGGGTGCATTCATTGGCTGGGGTAAAACGGGTGGATGCATTATATTAACTGACTGCTGAGAACCATTCATTTGCTGATTTGCTTGGTCATTGAATCCTGGCACTCCATGCGATGAATCTGTCAAGTAAATAAGAGAAATTAATGGAGAGATATTGAGGCATCTTAGATCATTCTTCACTTTTAATTTAATTTAATTTAAAGAAAACTGAGACTGATAGTTTATTTTAAGCCAAGGAATAAGCAATGTGGAGCACAGATCACACATTCAGTCACTGAATGAGTGAGCAACCAAGAGGGACTAAACGACATACACCTTCTCCAAGAAACAGTCGCTTTTTGAGTACATACACTTGTTCCCTATTTTGTATAGCTGAGCAACTGCAACAGTTAAGTACTCAAGTCAAGACTCCTCCTCCCCAAGTTTATTCACATATCTTTCTGAATTGGATCATTATATAATGATGGGGGACTGTAGAAGATGGGTATTAAACCACAGGATGACAGAAAATGTAGGAAAATTGACTCAGCTGGTGGGTGTTGACAAGACTGTAGTTTAGGCTGTCTAAGGGATTCTGGGATGGAACTGAAAGTGCAGGTTAATTGAGTATGTATAATAAAACATATTTATTAAATTGCTTCGCAAAGCAATGTCAAACATAGAAAAGAGAGAGAGAGAGTCAGGAAACCATTAACTGATATCCAATTTACACAATGTCATGAAACATTTTGCATTGTTAAAGGTGTTATATAAATTTGCATTGCATGTTTGCTGCTTCTTCAGCCATCAAACCATTCAAGGCAGTGTCTAAATCAAGACTAACAGGTCAAAGTTTTAACTTTATAATCACTTTATTTTCCCCTAATCAGTTTCCTTCATATTTAGCAAGTAACAAGCAAGGGTTCCAAAGAAGAGTCATATTGGACTCAAAACACTAACTCTTTCTCTCTCCAGTTTTGACTGACCTGTTCAGTTTTTCCAGCAATAGTTCTTATATTAGAGAATAACATGATTTGTCATTCACACGGACTTCACGTCCACTGTGACCCCAAAAGCAAACGCCTGGCCATTGAATAACAGTTACTGGAAGTATTAATTTTCAGAACAACTTGTAAGAATTCAGAAATTAAGCTCTTGAAGTAATAATTCATTCATGTGATTTCACAAAAATGCATCCAAACTATCCTCAATCCTTTTGTATTTTCTCCACATGGAAAGACTGCGAACCGGTGGTGTTATAATAACCTAAATGAGTAGATCCCAAGATGTTTGATCTTCTTAAAGCAATCCTTTCAGCTTTAGCTTAAAACCATAAAGCTAAAGACCTAATTTCAAACAATTCTCTAAGTGTGTTTTGACAGTTTTACAAGTAAATTACCTGGAAAGATAAACATCTATTTACCAAATTATTTTACCCATGATGAAAATCTTCAAAATGATCTTACCATCAGACACAGTCATGTGCTATATAAACTAGTGACACAGGTGCCTTTTGTTCGGATGCTAAAATTTAAGCAAAATTACTGAATCTCTAATAAATAGAAAGAAAGCTAAAGCTGCAGCTGAAGTGAGGCCCACTTATTTATGATTGTTTTGATGATTTTGATTTATTTTTGTCACAGGTACCTACAGAAGTGAAAAGTTTTGTTTTGCATACAGTACAGGCAGATCATACCATACAAAGACCATAGGGTGACAGACCAGAGTGAGGAATACAAAGTTACAGCTGCAAAGAACGTGCACTAAAAGCAATATCAACACTGTATTTGAAATTTGAGTGGTCCATTGAGAAGTCTAATAACAGCAGGGAAGAAGCTGCTCTGGAACCCGTGGGTTTGTGTGTATAAGCTTTTGTATCTTCTGCCTGATGGAAGAGATTATAACCGGGGTGGGAGGGGTATTTGATGATGTTGGTTGCCATTTTGAGGTAGTGAAAAGTACAGATGGAATCAATGGATGGAAGGTTGGCTCGTGAGATGGTCTGGGCGGTGTTCAAAACTCTGTAGTTTCTTACCGTTTTGGGCAGAGCAGTTGTCATATCAAGCCATGACGCGTCCAGATAGAATGCTTTCTATGGTGCATCTGTAAAGTTAGGGATAGTCCTTATGGACATGCTGAATTTCCCTAGTCCCCTGAGGAAGAGGAGGCATTGTTGTACCTTCTTGACCACATTAAGATGACAATTAAATGTACACTAATAACTTAGATAAATGTAGCTATGAGCAGTTTCTCGAAGCATGAAGGGAACTGTAGCAAATACTACAGGCATTATGGGATATGAAGCTAATTCTGTGGGAACCTAGCAAAGACTGTAAATTGCAAAACTGAACATAGAAACATAGAAAATAGAAGCAGGAGAAGATGGTTTGAGCCTGCTTAGTTATTCAATGTGATCATGGTTGATCATCCAATTCAATCTCCTATTACCACTTTCTCCCCTTACCCTTTGATCCCTTTAATCCCCAGTACTATACAGGGGGTCCCTGATTTATAAACACCACGCTTAGGAATGCTCATACTCATCAATGCAATCTCATACGGGGGTGTAATTTTAAAGCCCTGACATGTGAACATTTTCCCTTCTTTAAAATAATTCATGTTATCAATTATTCACATGAAATAGCCATTTGCTAAAGGTAACATTCTTCCTTCTTGTGGTGTGATTTCTAAAATTAGATATGATCTTCAGCGAAAGGATTGCTGAGTTACAAGTCAGTAAAGAAAATATTTTTCAACATTAAAAATAATAGCATTACACTAGTCACAAAAAACTATATAAATTATTCTCCTTTGTAGATAACAAACTATCAGGTTTCAATATTTATTGTTCTTCTTGTTTACAACAGTGTTTGATGCAATCTTCATTTTAGCAATAAGGAACATTTATCTGAAAAGCATAGTTCAGTATTTGGAAAAACTGGTACCACACAAATTTTCAAAAGGTTTCTGGATGCTTTCACAAACAAATAGATAACAGAAATACCTACCTTGCTCTGTTGAAGCCTGGTACTGTTCCTCATCAGTTCCTCTCCAGCTTGACTGCGTGCTTGAAGCCTGCCTTCCCCTATTGGCATAGTAATTTTGGACATCAGCTGGCAGGGTCTTCCTTGCGTTCCAACTGGAGAAAGATGACCATCCAGAACGGTCACGGGCCTCAGAAGATGCATTTGATTCACCTCGCCATCTATTTTGTTGATGGTCGTTATATCGACGGGGTCCAGTTCCTTGATATTTCCCTGAATTATTTTGCTCGCCTGAGAAATTTGACCTTCGGTTCTGCCATGGCAATTCACTTTGGTCAGCATGAAAGGAGCCTCCCCGGAAACGCCCACGACCACGCTTCCAACCAAAGTTCCTATTACCCCAAGAGTCATCTCTTTCATATCTATTTTCTTCCCATTTAGCATCATTCCTGTAGTCATTTTCTCTCATACTGACATCAGAAGATGCCTGGACTTGTTCCACTACCCATTCAGGGTTCCGATCATCTATATACTCACTAGTAGTTGACTGCTCATCTGGATATCTATTAGGCTGTGGGAATTCTCTACTCCTATTATTTTTTCTGAATCTATCATAACCTCTTGGCCTTTCCCAGTCATTCATTCTGGGTCTGTCCTTTCCTCGAATATTTCTCCAGCTGTCATCGATGTATCTGTCTCTTCTGCCTGGAGAAAAATTAGGTTTCTCTTCCTTCTCTCCAGAATAATATCTTTTTCTGGATCTAGATCGTGACCTAGAGCGTGGTCTATCTTTTCTTCCTCTTTCTACTTCAGGGTTCCTCTTCTCAGCTTCACTTGCAAGTTCTTCTTTTTCTCTCTCTTTACTGGGAGATCTGGACCTTTTCCTAGAAGATGGAGACGCTTGGTTGCTCCGGTCCCCATCTTCTCCTTTTGAGCGATTTCTTTCATGCAAAGGTCTGTCCGAGTGACTATGATGGTCTTTACCCAAAGATCTGGGCCTTCCTGGTGATCTTCCTCGCGACCTGGACCTTCCCCGCGACCTGGACCTGGACCTTCCTCGCGACCTGGACCTAGACCTTCCCCTTGACCTGGACCTGGACCTGGACCTTCCTCGCGACCTGGACCTGGACTTGGACCTGGACCTTCCTCGTGACCTGGACCTTGCTCGTGATCTGGACCTGGACTTTCCATGCGATATGGTCCTAGACCTGGATCTACCTTGTGACTTGGATCTGGACCTTCCTCGTGACCTGGAACTGGATCTGCCCCGTGATCTGGAACTAGATCTTACTTGTGGCTGGGAGCCAGACCCAGATCGTCCCTGGGATTTGGACCTGGATCTTTTCCGTTCACGTTTTCTTTCCTTTTCTGGAGACCAAGTTGTGGACGCTGCATGGAACCTAGACTTGCGGCGTGGTATGTCTTTTCCTTTCTGTTCTACTGTTCTCTTAAGTTCAATTTCAGGAAGTCCTTGCCCTGTGTTTTCGTTATTGGTATTTTCAAAAGTGACATCTGGCAGCAATACAGTGTGACTAGGATCAGAGGATAAAGCAGAACTTGCTTCATTTTCTTTTGTTGCTTTTTGAGATTCGTGATCAGCTACAGCCATTTGATGGTCATTGATGGGTGAATCACATTCCATAGCCACTACTTCATTGTTATCCAAATTAAAGTCCTCAGCACCACCACAGCCAGCCCCATCAATTAACGACTCAGATTTGGTTCTTTTATCATTATTGGTATGGTCTCTCTCTGGAGTCACTTGTTTGAAATCAGATTCATTGAAGATTCCACGTTTTAGGCTTTCACCTTCTGCAGTTTTTCCAGGAATTTCATCAGGTAACTTGTGAGCAATATCATTTTTCCAATCAGCTGCCTGTGACGGTTTACTTAAAATTTGCTCCTGGTTCATCTCAAACTGCTGAGGTTCAATATTCCCTGAGCTAATCTCACTTTTCACATTGTCATTCTCCACAAACTTATGAGGATCTTCAACTGAAGACTGCTGACTGATACCAACCTTACAATCAGATATTTGCTCATGACAAGGTAAAACTTCTGTGGAATCTGTATCAGATCGCTTCAGTTTTATATTTTCCAAGGCTACTTCACTCTCTGGATAGTTGTCTTCCAAAAACATTTCAGGAGTATCTGTGTACTGCCGCCCAATAGCTTGAGAATCAGGTGTTTCTTCAGTACTTAGCTTTTTCAGAGAACCCATTTTTTTAAACATCTCAGGTTTGATATTCTCTAAAGACATTTCCCTCATCAGATCACTATCCTCCATGAATTTTCCAGGAATTTCAATAAATGATTCTGTAGCAACAGCACTTTTACAATCAGATGTATGATGAGCTTGATCTGGATCCTCTTCAACTTTTACAGATACTGTTTCCTCTAACTGCTCAGAATTAATACTCTTTGAAGACATTTTACCCTTGGGATGGGTATCTTTAACATATTTTTCTGGGCTTTCAACAGTAGATTGCTTCCCAGTATCATCCTCACAAGTGTTGTTCATTCTTTGTCCGAATTCTACCACTTTAGAGCGTTCAGAATTTTGATCATTTACAAGTGCCTTGTTTCCCACATCAGCAATATCTTCATTTGATGGACTCCCAAGATATTCTGTTTGACCAATGCTTTGATCACTGCTGGTCACATCGATATGAGATACATCTTCACTGAGAGAACAAATTCCATTTTTTGAACTACTCTGTTCCTTTTCAATAAATTCTGTGTCACTGTTTTCTGCTGAATTACCTGAGTTGGGCTCCACACAACTTCCACAATTTTTATCATCAGTAGTCGGTGGAAGATTTGAGTTTCCTGAGACTTCAATATTAAACTGGTCAATGTTTGATGCACAGTCTTCTTCACTGACAGGCGAATTTTTATTTTCTACATGATCACGCTCTTTTTCATTCTCTTCTTCATTATCCTTCTCTACTGAAGTGATGCGATCACTGCAATCATTAGACGATGAATGGCTTGCATCACTATTATCCAGATTGCTCAATGGCTCTTCAGCAGAGACAGCAGGTTGAGGCTGATATTCGGTTTCACTGACAAAAGGACTATCATTTGGATCTGAACTACTAGGACTTGATTTCTTACAGGAACTACGCGTAACTCTGGTCTTCTTTTTATCAGAGGGAGTTTTATATTGTTCAGTCTCCAGTTTCCTTTTTGACTTTTGCTTTCCACCCCTTTTGGGTGGCGTTCTTGCACATTCTGGGGATGTTGTAGGACCTGAGGCACTGGAGCTTGACTGAGAGCGCTGAGCAGAGCTGGCAGATTTATCCAATTTTTCTGCATTACTGATGCGCATTGATCTTCTTCTGCCCGGAGTCGTTTCATTATTCCCTGCATTAGTACTACCGGATGCTCCAGACAGATTCTTTTTCTCTCCACCTCCTCTGGTGCCTGCAAGTGCACACACCTTGCCAGGAAAATGAACTGGTCAAAAATAAACAGCATATACTCAATTACAGGCTCCTAATGCAAATATTAAAATATTATTACTTTACTGAAACCCATTTTATGAACTGAGAAAAATACCCAATTGCTGATAACTGCAACCTGCTGAAACCCCATTCCCAATGGCAGTATGGTGCTATCTACAGAACATGAACTGCAGTGATTCAAGAAGGCAGCTCATCAACTTAAGAGCAACTAGGGACACATAATAATAAATGCTGACCCAATCAGCGACACTCATGTTCCACAAGAGAATAAAAAAAATTCTTTAAAACACTACAAAGGAAATCTTACTGGTTATATTACTTAATCTTCACAGAGGAACCTCAGACAGTGAAGGTTATTGTGTTGTTGGCAGGGGGTTGCATTAATTATAGCATGGGACATCAATGCTGGGAAATAAAATATTTTCTGACTTCATACACTCTAGATCAGATATTGTCCATGCTAAAAACCTCTCCATTGCTTAAAGTCGTCTCAGGAGAGAATTCCCACTGCCTACTCTGTGCACCTTTGTACGTGCAATATTGTTAATTTAAATAAGTTCTGTGCTGTAAGAACATTTCCTCTAAAAATTTCTCACAATTAATTCAGCCAAAACAAATGTATTTGGCAAAGAGAAGAAACCCCATTCCTAATAGCTGGAACAGGAAAGACCTTTGCTTTAAAAGGTGAAATGACTATTTACCAATGCACTGTACCATGCAGCCCTCTGAAATGAATAATTAAACAGTTAGGCTTATTTATCAAATTTTGTTAACTTGCTTTTTGAACGTTGTGCTCATTTAAGAGTGTTGTTAGCTTTCTTGTTTCTTGGTCGATAGTTGCCAATTCTAATAACAAACTTATACAGCAGAGCACATTCTAAGGGACAATCCCATACAGTGTCAAAAGTACACGGCACCATTAGTTATGCTAAACTGAGATCCTAGCTTCCTAACCGGGCGAGAACGAGGATTCATCCAGCATTCAAAAAGCAGCAGAAAACTCATCAGTGACCAGTTTTATATTCTTCCTTTAGGTGTTCCAGTGTGTGAAATCCTGCTGTGCATAGGACAAAGCAGCTGACTTGTTTGTCTACTCCAACTACCCCACCAATTCAAAATACCAACTATACAGAAAATTTTGAGGCATTTAAAAGATGTACCAGGGTGCTACATAAATGCAAATTCAATCAGTTTACTCAAGGAGTAGATAGCAATTTTAATAAAGATATTGTCAGTGGATGACTAAGGAAATTCTATGAAATAGCATTCAATGTAGAAGTTAATAAAACACATTCCCTTTACATAACTTCTGGTGTTTCCTTGCAGTTACATCGATAATAGCTTTGTAACTGCTCTACCATTTTTAAATGTCAATATGGCTTCTATTATGTTTTATCCTGATAGCTGTCAGTAAACCTGACACCTGAAACTTTTACTGGTCAGTTTCATCCTCTACTTGAATAGGCAGTGGTAATACTGTGCTAGTAGTTATTCTTCAATTATTCCATTTGAAGGGAACCATTACATTCAGTACTCTCACAGGATAGTTTTAGAGAAATCAAGCCATTTTATTTTCAATTAAGCCTGTAATTACAAAGATATTAGGGCATTTATCAAGTTGTAAAAAATTATATTTTTCACTGTTCTTTTATCAATTGGACCGAACAGAATTTCCAATATTACGAGTGGTATTAATAAATGAGTTTACAAGAATATCTGTTTAGCATCCAAACTCACTTAATGGCTTCAAAAAAAGTTGGAGAAGTCAAGAATAAAACTGTCAATGCAATTAAGCAAAACGACCGCTTGTAAAGAAAAAGAATTTCAAATAGTTTCTAACAAAGTACTCCCAATTTTGGATGTATAATTTTGAAGCATAAATGTTGAACAGTGCAAACCATTAAGGTTTCAAAATCAGGAAGTACCTAGATAGGGGTTGTCTTTGAGTTGGAAATAAGAATCTCACCAGAACGTGCCAGTGCAAATGGGTTTGACGGAAACACAGTTTCTGACATCAGATCTTGCTGCAGGACAGCAGTTGCTGCTTCATCATATTCAACAGAAATGGAGTCTATGCCGTATCTGTAAGATAACCAACAAAATATTGGCTTTTCGGCTCTGACACATGGAGCAAAGGAAGTCTGTTGTACTAGATCAAATACTCAATTTCTGTATTTCA